CACTCATAAACGCTCATTCGCACAAATACATGGTATCTCATTAATCCCCAAACAGCAATGTATGTACAAAACATTCAAATACGGAAACACACACGCACGCACGCACGCACATACACATACGCGCCAGTAACGTAAAAGGTGCAAAATATAATAATATAATAACCATCAAATTCCAAAAATAAGGCGGAGAAAAGAAGGGGGAGGGAGGACTGTGAAGGAAGAAAAGGGGCATGGAGTAGAAGATTTAGCTTGCCATGCGATAACCACAGGCAGGAAATACTCCAAAGTCCTTGGCTCTAAAAGCTGTGACCATCAATATTCTGACGATTTCGCCTCCGCAGTGTCGAATGAAGACACAGAATAATACTTGATCTACCCACATTTCCGACGAAGAAGCGTGTAGGTGTGAGCACTTTCTAATAACGTGGTCCTGAGGGTCACATTTTCTCGGAAAAGAACTGAAAACATTCAGGTTTTCTTGTTTGGGGTTATTGTTGTTGTTGTTGTTTTTGTGTTGTTGTGTTGTTGTTGTTTTTTTTGGGGGGGGGATATTTTTTTGTCTCAATCATGGTAACAATAAAAATATCGCTAGGACCCGTCGAACATTTGACCTTTATATTTTTTCAACACAAAAATGTTTTATAAGTGATATATCCCTTTTTTCTCTCTGATATCCGATACTCTAGGACAATTATTGTTTATGACGTACTGTGATGAAGATTGCAAAGAATGATTGTTGGCATGCATTTTCTCAACGTTTATTCTTGCTGGGTGTTGTTCAATATTTGTGGTCTGGCCATTCTTATGTTCTGCCCATACCCGATAATTCAGATTCGACTTGTCTGATAATCATGCACCACTCTCGAGAGACCAAAACGAGTGCGTAATATAGCTGGGCGAAAAGGAGTTTGGATTTCATTTGATCGATTCGATTCTGTATTGGAGTTATTCGAGGGGAACTTAGATCTGATGTGCACTCAAATAATTCCTTTCTAATTTTGCGGGAAACGCAGAAGGGTGGCTGGAGAACTGACCTGATGTCCGTGACTTCCTACCAGTCTGGCACAATGCTGTTCGATGTCTTTTTTCACGTTCACGTTGAAAGCAATTATTTTTT